TGATAGGAAGGTTTTCTTGGCTTTTTGGTGGAATTGGCAAACATTTATCGACTTTAGGCTGTTCCTCCCCCGCCAAACTTCTAATTCGGATCTGTACTGTCAGCAAGTGGGCCGTCTGTACTAAGCAATCGCCTAGCAGTGCACGAGTTTGACCACCATGAGAAGAATTATGTTTCGGCAGGACAATGCTAGACAAAACGACTTCATAGTCACTTCGCAGAAGCTCCGAGAGCTTGTTTGGTAGGCTCATATGTATACGTTTTATAGTATGGATCTCGCATCAAGTGATGGCGAAATATTGGCCTCAAAAGTAGCCTGTGAAAACCCATTGCCTCAATTCTTTGCCAATAATCATAAGAGCTTCTGTGAGAGAAGCACAATGTCATTATTTTCAAAATGGCAAAAAAGTTAACGAGCAAAACTGTGCACATTCTAACTATGATAATTAAAGTCTTCCATTTGTTGCCAAGTATCTAATGCTCGATCGCTACGACAACAAAGTGTTTGGCAGTGCGTACTGCCATTGAGATTCCCATTTCGACCAACATCGAAAAAAAAATATGGAAAATTAATTTAAAAAAAAAAGCTTCAGCTGACCCCGGCGGTTTGGATTAAATAGCTGGTCCCTAATTTTTTTTTGGAAAACATCAAGACACTCATCACGAAGACGCTCGTCGCTACAAAGCGATGGTTATGGATTTTTTTCAATTTATTAAATATTTTTTTTCTTTTTTAATTTTTTTCAAAACCAATTGAGCATTATCACTACGGACATTAAGGTTTTACTGCTGTTTAAATATCGGGAAATATTACACCAACTACAACAAACACTTTACTAAAGTCCATGCATTCAAGTTAATTGCTACGGTATTGATAAAATATTTACATAGAGGAGTTTTCCTAGACATATGCACGTATCTTCAGCATGCCTTAGAGCCAATAGCCTTTTTTACGTACATTTTCTGCTTTGTGTGTAACATTTTCCAATAATGTATGTGAGTGTAGGTATGTTTGCAACATGCGCTTGTATGAACACAGTGCTTAATCCGTATACTTCAATTGAAAGTAATTTAATTTGTTCTAAGTTGCCTGTCGGCAGCAAAGATTGAAGCTTTCGAAGATTGTATCCTCAGGCGGGCAGCCAACTTGGCGCACACGCATACACTTTGCATTTCAGGTAAGCTGCAGTGTGTATGTCAAAGTGGTCAGAAAAAGTACGCAATCATTTTATTTCCACCTAGAAACTTTTATAAATATTAATACGAAATTTGGACTAGTAGCCAAATAAGACCCAAACTGGTACTAGTTGCATATGCGTATTCAATAAAATGTAGAAACACAAAAAAAAATAGTTTTATTAGGTAATTTCTTAGTTCCTGTAGATTAACAGACCAGTATGGGACTAGTATATTTTTGGAAAAAATGTGGGTAAGTTGCGTAGTTTGATATGCAAGTACAAATACGAATATGTAAATACATACCAGTATATTGCAGCATAAGTGACAGCTTTGTAATGAGGAAGAAGGAGCTACTGAAGCAAACAGAAAGTGTATACTGACACGCATATTTAAATATTATTGAACTCAGGCGAACACATATGAATATTTACAGAAGCAGTGATTGTGGTGTACAGTGGGAGATGCAAAAATGCGAACGAATGCATATCATTTCCTTGTACCTTAGAATTTTCGTAACAGACTTTTCTCTGTTGGAAAAAAATCGTTTAAAAATGAGTTTTTACACAAACTAAATTTCATGTTTTGTCTTACTAAAATTACTAAAATTTTATAATTCAATTTAATACCAAAGAGGAAATACTTTTATTTTCGCGGAAGAGAATTGTAGGAGGGTGATTAGGCTTATTAGTATTATTACGTCTTCAGTGATTCATATTTAGTAGATATACGAGGTTTCATTGTTATTCAACAAATAAGTCTTTGTGCCATCGTCAAACAGGCAACGTACTCGGGAGTCAAAGATTAAATATGGAAAAATCAAACATCTTGCCGTTAAAAGTGCCTTATCAAGCAACGAAAATCTGTAGCGACTATAATGAATGAGAGGCCTTTGGTTTATGGAGACTTTTGTCTGGGAAAACTACTTATATAAATAAAGGAGGTAGACGAACCGAGGCAGAGCAGCATGAATAACATTTAAAATATTATCCTTGACAATTCACGACTAAGAACAAAAAACTCGACAAAATGCTTGGAGTAATGCTTGAAGTACCCGATACAACCATTTTAAAAAATCTATATTGGCTTGGCTAAAGGTCAGCGCATGTTGGGTATTGAGAATGCTCAAGCCGCCGCAAAAACAACAGAGCATAAAGTGTTTACGTGGATTTGTGAACCTATGTAACGAAGATAATGGTTTATTGATTTAATTTTTTGCTAGAGATGGAGCTTGGGCCTTATGTACTTGAGGTGAAACTAGACTCCTTGCAGTGACATACAAAGGGAGGGCCTAAAGGGAGCTTAAGGTGTCACTGTCAACTGAGAAAGTCATGGGAAGGGTCTCATAAACTGTTGCGTTGGCTGCACTGCATAAGGTGGGTTTCAATATAAAAAAAAATAAAAAATTTATGACCGATGCTGAAGTAAAACAGGCGGATTCGACTGGTCTTTGGTAATTTTCCCGCAGGTCAGCAGATTTTTGCTAATAATAATATGTTGGCAGATCTTATTTGGGCTGCCTTAAAAATTTCCGCTATTGCTTCATTTTTAAATAACCCATGTGTGTCCAGAAAGAGCTCTAAAGCGTATTCTTTATACTCCTAACTTCTTTCTATTTTCGCGGGTAAGTGAGTGAAGTAAAGTCTCTCAGTCAATTTTACACTATGGTAGGACGGCAGCTTATCCCTAATAATTTTTAAAAGAATAAAAATAAAATATGCATCAGCTCGTTTTCGGTTAATTTTAGATTTAATTTACAACATGCGCCACATTTCAGCAAAATCGAAGATTATCATTCAGGCATGGCTACACTATAAGAATAATTTGAGCGCGAAAAATAGTTTAATTTATGATTATTTCTTAGTAGGCTCTCAGTTAACCAAATAAATTAATATTTGTAAGCTTACTATGCAACGACTAAGATGATATAATTACAAAATTTACAGGGTTTATTAATTTGGCAAATTGCATACCATCAAAGAACAGTGTAAAGTCTTAAAATTATTTCAGCGGGCCATATATATATATATCCATAAATAAAATTTTATCGGACATGCATATACTTATATACGTAATACAAACATAGCATTTCTGCAGCTGAGAGTAGAATATTACAATTGGGTAGCCATGGCGTATACGTAATGGTTTTCAGATATGGTTAGTGGCAAATACGAAACACACTGTACAATTGGGTAAGTGTGTAAATGTAAGCATCATGTAAATATTACCACAAATATATAATTAATTTTCTACAAATTTCTCTACAAGACTAGATAAATTCAAAAGAATTTTGGCAAAATTCAAATTAATATTGGAAAATCGATTGAATAGCATGGAGCCTTTATATCGGATCAATATGTGTTAGATATATATAGAAATATCAATGTAGACACAAATTCTTTTTAGAACTTTCGGTAGCACTAGTATGACTTTGGAGTTTTTCCAGCTCTTTTGGCGTGCATTCCAGTTGACGGTTTGCGTGTTTGTAGAAAATTAATTTTTTACACTGAATTTATGTTGCCGGGTAGGTGTAACAAGACAACACTAAAACGCAAATTCAAACGAAGTCGAATGGAAAAGAAAACACTATGAATATGAAAAAATTTTTCGAAATTTTTGAGTTTATATGTGAAATACTAAAAATTCTTCCTGTCCGTTCTCAAAAGATGTCATTACCAGTAAAATATTGGTCAATAATGAAAGCTTATACTTACTTCACTGGCAAGATTTCACACCTGTCTACAATAATTAATATGTTATAATAATTTTGTCATTTCGCTCTACGAAATATCCGCATTTGTTGTTCAATAAAAAGCAATTTCTGGCAGCTTTGTTTTTTTAATTTTAATTTAGTTTTAATTGAAAGAAAAATTTCAGCTAAAAGCCGTCAAATGCTTGTAAAAACTGCTTTCGACGGCTCAAAAGTAGAATCGATGGCAAGAGCTGTCCTGGCCAATCCAAAACAGTTGGAAGATAAGGAACTGGTTGCTTTATTGCAGCAGAATATGTGCAAAGCGTAAAATGAACTTGCATAAACATTTGAAGGAGCTCAGTGAACAATTTTCTTTCGGTTAACGCAACTTGGATTCATTCAAAAACAAGAAAGTTCGGAAATCGAAAAATCGAAATATCCCTCAATGATTGGATCTAAGACAATAACATTAAAAGATTGCACTTTAAAAATACCAGAGAGATAGCAAAAGCAATCACTTTCGATGGACAATTCTTTAAATAATGTATTTCCTACTTATTTTTAAATAAAATACACTTTTTTTTTAAATAGCAAACGAAATTGACAGTTTACATACATTTTCGATGAACAGACAAAAACTGACAGAGCTTAGCTGGTAAATATTATGAGCCCAGGACACACCTCTACAAAATTCTCTTGAAGGCAAAAAACTGGCCAACCAAAGAGCCTTGAAAAAGTCCTCGCCAACAATAATAATAAGAAGAAAGCATATTTCAAAAAGTGGACCAAAAAAACTGAATTTAGTTCTAAATCGTCTAATTTGTAAATTTGTATGAAAGTTTCGGAAACTGTCGAACATATATAATATCATATATAATTGGTTGTAAATTATAATAGAAGTAATAATATAATAAACCTATTAAGTCTTATATGAACCATCTTTAAATTCTCGTGATCAAACTCTAGTTTTCCAAAAGAAAAAAAAAATAAAGTAAAAAATAAAAGAATCCAAATTATACATTTATTTTTATCTGAATTTAAGTATTTCTTTAATTAAAGTTTTCATTAATTAACAGTTTTTTATGTAATATTTAACAAAATAACAATTGTATGCATTTGAAAATTTCACTTACCTTGCAGTTGTTAGGCAGGTGAAGGCTTTTATGGGTGTCTGAAACCTGTAATAATAAAAACCAGAAAAAGAGAAAAGAATATCTGCACTAATAGTTAAGAGCATTCAATTTTTATGTATTTATGTGCTTATTAAATATAGTTATTTATTTTAAATTATTTTATTTAATTGAAATATTAAAATATTTTATAGGTAAAAATTATGTTTGGCCAGAAAACCTGGATGATAATTAAATATTTAATCCATTGATTTAAGAAAATTAATGCCATATTAATACTAATTGATTTACAACTAAAATTTTTGAGTTAAATTTTAATATATTTATTAAATTTATAATGTTGTACTAAATGTGAATAAAGAATTTGATTGAGTAGTTATATATGATTGAATTTTACGCATACCTGTGAATTAAATGTAATTTTGATATGAAAAATTGATTTCAGTCTTTAAAGATTCGATTTTATATTAATATATATACTAAATGTACAACAAAAAAATAAATGAATAGTCTATTTTAGGAGTATAAAGAGTTTTAAAATTTGTCTATGGTGCAACAGGGCGTATACGCAACCGATTTCGCATTATTTATGAGCAAAAATGAATAGGAATTTTATTTATTTATTTGCTCTTACAGTAAAATTACAGAAAATAATACCTAATAAAATACAAAAATCCTCTGCATATGTTTTTTGTATTATAAAATTTTTATATGATTTAAAATAACCAAAAAAAAGAATTTAGATTAAAAAAAATTAAAATCATAAATAAGCCAATTCAATTCAAATGGTAAACTGTGTTGGAAAATATATTCGATTTCACTGAACGTTTTACAATAAGTATTAAGTGTAGTTTTTTTTTTTTTTAATATAACAACCATATACATAGGTTAAACGAATATATGTATCACAGAATTTTAGTTTGCCAACGTTAAAAGCGAAATATATTTAATAAATACGCTAATCGGAATTAAACAAATATTTGTACAAATTTTAATTCCATTTACATTAAAATATTTATTTCTAAGCAAACGTATGTATGTAATATGTGCAACTACTATTTATACAAATATTCATTCAAATATGCTTTCTATTTATGCGATTTATATTTATATTTACATATACTCGTATGTATATATCGTAGGCCAACAAACAAACACAACCCCCAGTTACATAAGAAGAGAAATCATTTATGTAAATAAAATTTAATTAGAACTAAGCTGGAAATGGTTTCAAATGGTTTCAAATGGCATAAAATTACTGTACACATGTTAAGTGATTTCGACATAGTAAATATAATATTAAATGAGTTTACGTATGTTAAATAAACCACAAATTACCATTCAAATGAGCAAATGAAATTCTTTTGTATTTTTACGTAATTTTATAAATATAACGTAATAGAAAAAATTATTTGAGGCTAATCATTACTAATAATTTAATTTAATTATAAAATATTTTTATTGCAAAAAAAATTAAAACCATTAAAATAAAAAAATAAATTAAATTTTTTGGAAATTTTTTATATAAAATTATTGCGCCAAATAAAAATTAATTGTCAACAGCTTAATAGATGTTTCTCTTAGTGAAAAAAATAAAAACTTAAAAGCGGCAAAATGTATGTACAGTGGTTCACAGGAGAAAGTTACATGCAACCTTGACTAATGCATTGTTGCAGCACTGTTTTTCGCTCACAAGAAAGCTTTGCAGCATGAACAAGTGCAATATCGCTATGAATTATTCTTTCAAAAATTCTGGCAAGCTAGAATATCTCCACGTCATAAACTAATCTTCATCACTCTTTACGATTTTTGGATGCAGAGCTCACTTAGTTAGTGACCTCTTAGCAAAAATCCTTCGCCGCTCTTGTTGTTAAAAATTCCACGATTTTGGAACCAATTCAGTTAAAATGCGTTTCATGCCCAAAATATTGCAAAAACATGTTATGGCATGATGCTAGCGATATGCTAACTTCATCAGCAACTACAAGTTTTATAATTCAGCGATAGTTTAAAAGCAATACAGTGCGCACCGAAGTCGCTTTTTCAGCTGTGGTGCAGGGTATCGAAGAATACCCGAATAAGTCCATCCGTCATTGTGTGGAACAATTGTAGCTGCGCTGACCCATCTTTCGGCCCATTTCGCCAAAGGTTCCTGGCTTGCAGGTTTACAAAATCCAACTCGTGCAAGAAGTGCAGCGGAACAATTGTTATAAACGCCACACCTTCAGTGAATGAGATGACCACCGATTCACAAGAAAATTTTGTTCAGCAATAAAGCTCACTATCGATAGATTGAGCACGTTAATAAACAAAATTGTCACATTCGGAGTAATGATAATACACACGTTATTGTTCTGTGTGCTCCATGGTCAGAGGTAAGCATTAGCCCATCCATATTTCTCAAAAATGAAGTCAACCATAATCTTAGAATCAATGGGGAACGCTATGAAGTCTGCACCAGTTACTTTTAGGTGCCTGAATAAGAGGTTGTTGATTTGGAGAACCTTTAATTTGACAGGACGACGCTGTAAGCCATATAGCCTAAGCTAAAATCAATATATTGATGAAAACTTTTGGTGAGCGCATTAACTCACGTCGGTATTGCTGACATATGGCTCCAGTTGCTGCCAAAAGTGATCGAAAATTGTGCTTTTATGCCAGCCGTGGCGGTGTCTTGTCCGAAATTATTTATGAAACGGAATGACAAATCCTTATCTTCATAGCAAATACGAGTATATGATATGCATTTTACTTCTCCATTATGCGGATATACACAGGCAACTACTTTCCCGTTTCTTTACTGCAATCTACTAATTAACTTTTACTAATTAAAATTTTAATATTTACGCTACAGTTTATTGCTAAATTTATTAATGCAAATAACGATATGTACAATCTGTCTATGTATATAATGGATTATTATTTTTATACAAGTATAAACACATATAAAATGTATGGATTTGTTTAGCTAACGGTTGTTTATAACAAATAATTGAGAGTTAGTGATGAATATGTGTATTAAAAAATTTATGAAATGAAGTGATGCATCATTTTAACCTCGACCATTTGCCCGTTTTTCCCTGTACACAATAACTCCAGTAAGGATTGAGTTGTTTCGATGGAACCTGGTTCGCTTATTCCATGGAAGTACGAGCTCCACATAGCTCGATGAAATTTTATGCTCACATTATTCATTATTTTGTATGAACACGAATTGAACGCGACCATATCGATCGGTCAACAACTATGACTTCATCACATAAAAAGGATTTTTTCCAGCTCCCGCTTGACTGAAGTTCAAATATTTAAGGCATTAATCAACCGAACTCAACCAATATTCGCAGGCAGAACACTTTTGGTAGGCACTAAAATCCTATCAACATTAACCAACAAAAGTGGAGAAGCGCCTGACTCTACTGTACCGTAAAATTTCCAACTGACGCCAAACGGTGAAAAGAAGAAATGACTGTCGTGCCGTTGTTAAGTCGGCTATGATCACTTAAACAAGCTGTGTATCTAATAAAATAGTATATAAATATGAGCGGAGCATTTAGAGCTTGGCTCCACTCGAATTTGGATTTCCTTTTTTATTTTTTCACATACATATTTGTAGTGCAATTAATAGTTAAAAATACATATGTATATATACGAGTCTACAGATAACTTATTTATGTACAGATTTCCTACATTTTCTGGTTATTATTAACACACTTTCTAGACAACAATGATATTATTTAATATTAATAGCAGTAGAAAAAAACAACAACGCAAACGCATACAATAAATATTGGTTAGTCGAACAATAACAACAACTGTGTAATAAGTAAAAATAAAACATTAAATACTTTCCTATTAAAATTGCAATAAATATACATGAAATGATGTAGTGAAAACAGTGAAACAACAACAAATTAAATGCTTTATAAATGTATTTGTGTTAAAATAAAATTGTTCCCAACAACCAACCAACAACAACCAAATGACAAAGAAATAAATTTAAAATTGCTTTTGCAGCCATATAAATTTTATATAATTATATTTTGTACGCAATACGGTGTGTGTGTGTGTGTGTATGTGTTTGTATTGTATATTTGAAATACACTAATGTATGTATGCCACAAAATCGCATAACCAAATGCGCTTCACATAAATTAGATGTCCGTCGGGTCGTATGAGTAACTTTTCCAAATCACTATGCGCATATGTAAGCATTCCCAACAACATATTCACTTTTGGTCATTACTAAATGCTTATTTGCATTGTTATACTGTGTGAGCAACTTAAAATCGTGTTTAACATTTATTAATTATATATTAAAATAATAATAATAAATTACAAACGTTATTTTACGCGCAGGTCTCTTCTCCCGCCTAGTGAAATGAAAACCAACTGCATTTCAAATAAAAAATTGTACAAATGTTTTATTTAGTTAACCACAGAATTATTATACAATATTTTTATTTATAATTCATCACAATACTTTACCTTGGAGAGTTTATTTATACATAATGTAGAAAAACATTTATGTGTCTGTTTGTTTCCAAAGATATCACAAACTACTAAAAATTTGTCAGTGTGTTTCTATGGTTCTATGAAAGGTGGAACAGATAATCAGCTATTCGCATTAGAGTTAAATTTATTTAAAATAATTTTTTTCCAGAAAGCGCAGGAATAGATTCAGTCGGCGTTCAGTCAGGAAACACCCTCATTTCTAGGCTACCCAACCATTGTCTTTCAGATGTATATATAACTGCTATTATAGAGGCAGCAGAGCACATAAAAATCAGTTTTAAAGAAGAGTTTACCTAGACAGATAGCAATAAAAGTACAGGGCTTGCTTATGATGAATTCCAAAGTTACGCTGCAGATCTTTGCAGGAGCCAAACAAAACAAAATAGATGAACCTAAAGATACCGGTGGTAGGCAACACAGCCAAACCTAACCTAACACACGGGATAATATATTTTCATAGCGATCAAACGTGTTACACTCTCTTGAGTAATGAGTATGTATCTTAAATAACTGAGTATGGAAAGGTTCTCAAACTT